GCAACATATACAGTCAGTACATTGTACCCCATAATTGCAGTAATGTACACAGTTATGATTTAATAAAAAATAAAATAAAATGACTTAGCCAAGCCAAAAAATAAATAAATGTGGTGGCTCTAAATAAATAAATAAATAGCACAGGCAATAAAACCAAAAATAAACAAATGAGACTGCATCAAATTAAAAAGTTTCTGCAAAACAAAAAGTTTGGAGCCTCCCAAGAATACATCTTTAGGACGAAAATGACCTTTACCAGGGCCGGGCACAGTGGCTCACGTCCGTAATCCTAGTACTCTGGAAGGCCAAGGCAAGTGGATTGCCTGAGCTCAGGAGTTCAAGACCAGCCTGAGCTAGGGCAAGACCTGCCTCTAAAAAATAACCAAGCATTCTGGCTTGCGCTTGTAGTCCCAGCTATTTGGGTGGCTGAGGCAAAAGGATCACTTAAACCCAAGAGTTTGAGGTTTCTGTGAGCTATGATACCATAGCACTCTACAGAGGGCAACAAAGTGAGGCTCTGTCTCAAAAAAAAAGTAAAAATAAAGAAAATGATCTTCACCAGCATTAAGAAGGGAGAAAAAATAGACTTAATAGCTTATCTCAAAAAAGCCACTTATGAGTAATAGCTGGGCCACTTCCTTATTTGTTACAAAACAGAAATATCCCATGACTTTTTATGTGTACCATAATTTAACTGGTCTCATGCACCAGAATTCAGGTCATGAATGAATGACAGAATATTTTTGTTGAACAGCCCTGATTTAACTAAGACCAACTTGTGATTAAATGAATATGATCATTTTTTTTAATTTTGATAGTGATTTCAGCTCAGTAAGTGCTGTCACTACTTTCCTCTTCCAAAGATATGACTGGATTTAATTATGTTAAACTTTCACAAAATGGTGAATTGCTTGGTTTTACATTTAGATTTATATAAGTGGTTGTGTGAATATATTTAAATACCAGGGAAATCCCCTTCACTGCCTCAGAACTAAGCAAGACTCACCAGTGTGAGTCTTGTGTTCCTTAGCCTGCTGAAGGTGAATGCTGGAGAAAAGGGATCAATGTTTACTTTGTATTTTTGGTCTTCACTATGCCAAGCTAATTTCTCTGTGTCTACTGAGATGCTGCCTTTTATTTATTGAAAGGCATTTTATACTATTCAGCCACTAAAAACGATGGAGACTTTACATCTTTTGTATTAACTTGGATGAATATGGAACACATTCTTCTTAGTAAAGCATCACAAGAATGGAGAAGCAAGAATCCTATGTACTCAAGTCTGACATGAGGACAATTAATGTCCTAGTACATGTTAGGGCATGGGGGATAGGGAGAACAGAGAGAGGAAAGGAGGATCTATATAATTAAAAGAGGGTCTCTATATAATTATAAGAGGGCCCTTATCTAACAAATGCAATCAACATAATCTGGTTCTGTGTACCCTCAATGAATCCCCAAAAACAAAAAGAAAAGAAAGATATTTTAGTGTGGTTTATGTGTAATTTAAAATAAAAAATATTTAACACTTCTCACATTTTATAGACAATCTATAAGGTGAAATGTTTTTGAAAGTCAATGTGATAAGAAATAGCAAACTAAATTTTTGAATTCATTGCTTAAAAAAATGATTAAGACAAAATGTGGAAACAACCTAAATGCATACCAATCCAGGAATGAATTAACAAGCTTTGGTATACCATGGAATACTATTCAGTTTTTTTTTTTTTTTTTTTTTTGAGACAGAGTCTCACTATGTCGCCCTCAGTAGGGTGCCGGGGCATCACAGCTCACAGTAACCTCCAACTTGGGCTTAAGTGATTCTCTTGCCTCAGCCTCCCAAATAGCTGGGACTACAAGTGTCTGCCACAATGCCTGGCTATTTTTTGTTGTAGTTGTTTAGTTGGCCCGGGTCAGGTTCAAACCCACCACCCTCCCTGCATGTGGCTGGCACCATAACCACTGTGTATGGGCGCCAAGCCAACTTTACATCTTTTTTATTAACCTTGATTGAGTTGGAACACATCCTTCTTAGTAAAACATCACAAGAATAAAAAATCAAGAATCCAATGTACTCAGTTCTAGCATGAAGGCAGTAGATGACCTAATACAGGTGGAGGATAGAGAATGAGGGATTGGGGGGGGGCGGAGAATGCAAGATGTACAAGGGAAAGCTCTTAAAGCTTAAAAACATTAAAATTGAGACTAACAAAAAGACATCCTAGTTCACACCATGCTCCCTATCAGCTACTAGACACTGAAAAACTAAGATTCAGGAAAAGGAAAAAATTTTGCAA